TGTGCATGCATTTCAAATCTGTAGCCAATTAAAATAGCAGAAAAAAATAATATTAATTATTCTAATTTTATTAGGTAGTGAAATATGCTACCATTGATTTACCAATAGGTTGTGCATACTGAAGCCAATTAAAATGACGGTAAATAAAAATAATGAATAGATACTTAATTAATTAATTAAAAAGCTAAATAAATATATATTATATAACGAAAAATATTTATTACATATACCTCACTTAACTCAGCTTATTTTTATTGATTTATTTATGTTTGTTTGTGTTACTTTATGATTTTTGTTTTAACCTAATAACCCTGATGTGATTATTCCTAAAAGAAATAGTTCCCAGCGCCTGTATAACCTGTGTCCATCTGTATTGCTGGGGGTTGTCTCTCATTTTTATTTATAGGCCTAATTATTTTGTAAGCGTGTCATTGGCGTGTCCTGAAGGCCGTGTGCTGATCAGTGGTTTGAATGCATGCGTGACGGAGGTGATGTGTGCTGCATTACTGCATGAACTCCATTCACATTCACACATGATCACCGTTAGAGACACATGACCTTCATTATGTGTGTGTGAGTGTGTGAGTGTGTGTGTGTGTGTGAGTGTGAGTGTGTGTGTGTGTGAGAATGACACAAGGGTCTCGTCATGCATGTAAAGCAGATCTGATATAATGTCCTGTTTGCTGGATTATTAATTATATCAGATGCGCTTTACATGATGAGAATCCTTTGCACACGGTTGCAGGTAGACGTCATATTTGTAGTGTGAGCGTGCATTTGTGTATTGATAGTAATGTTTAAACAATTTACGATAAGAGCTTTTGCTCCGCTTTATTTCTGTTGTGGTTTAGTTCAGAAACGTGATTGTTCAGTCAATGCATTTCAAAGGTCTGTGTTTTATTCCAGAGGAACTACACATGTGAACATGAATTTGAGTTTCATATTCATACTCTAGAAAGATTTGACGGGTGAATGTGTGGAAATAATCTTCTGCAACTTTACACTCGTGTCACAATTAGGTTCTATACATGATACAATACTATCACAATAGTAAAAAACAAATATATATATTTTGAAATTACTTAAGTTACTTGAAATCACATAAAATCTAAAAAGAAAAAAAATATTTATATTATATGATTTATAAGTTATTTCAGCTGGTTTCCAAGACAACATTTCTCATTTTCATTTACTTTAACTTGTACTAAAATGTCTAGAACTGGGATAAGGATTTAAAAACGGTAACATCTTTCAGCTTTCAGAATCCGTGTACCATTCGATCATTCGTTTTTTGATTTAAAATTGAAAGTAGAAAAATGAGAAAACGGCTCCTTTTTCGTTTTTTTTTTGTTTTTTTCCCCAAAAAACGAAAAAGGAGAATTCAGCTTAAATTTTCGTTTTTCGTTCATGGGTGGAAAAATGAATAAACAGCTTGAATATTGGATTTCTACAAGTGGGCGGGAATTAAACGCCCCTTTCTGCTGATTGGTCAGCCGAAGATCAAACCGTGCCGTCATCAGTTCTTCCGCAGTATCACGCAGCAGAATAATAGTCCTCCACTGCTGCAGGTGTATGGATTAATAACCCATTTTATCAATTTCATATTTGTCTCATCAAACAGACTAATGAATAGCTGGACACAACTCATACTGGGGCAGAGTCTAGACAGGTCTTTCTTCTGTGTAGACCAGCGGTTCTTAAAGTGATAGGGGGTCCGAGAAATAATTAGCTATAGCCTAAAGTATTTCCAGACTGTAAAGTCGATTTTTTTATCATGATACATAGGCCTACTGTGATTTATTCCAAAGTGACT